AAACTGGTTTTCCAGTTCAGAAATTACTTTTTTTATAGGTCTTTCACAATTACATTTCTGGTGTGCAACTCTGAATGCGTTTGGTAGAGTGAAAACTTGTGGATTTAGATGACTGAAAGCAAAGGTACTGAGCAGGACTTGTCAGTAACAAACTGTGAGACACCTAAGGCTGGAAACAGTACCTGCACATGATGGGGTGACAGCCATTTCCAGAAATCTCCAGTGCCCTGTAGCATTCAAGGCACACCCCGTGTGATTCCAGAGCACACAAAGATCTGGCAGGTAATACTCCCCATCTGAAGGAATTTTCTACATTTTCATTCTTGTCCCCTGTAGAAACTCTTTTATTTTAAGCTGTCTGTCAGAGGCAAAGCTTCACATGCCAATAGACAGAAGACTGGCCTTGGTCCTCGAACTGTTCTGTCTCTGCAGTCTCAACCATTTGGGGACAGTTTAGGAAACACAGGACCTTGCAAGGAGACTTTTTTTTTTTAATTCTCAGTCCCAGTGTACTGAAGAGGCTCACTCACTCCTTACTAAAGGAGTAGGGGAAAGGATTCAGTGCCAGGAAATGAGCAGTTCTTTATAGGTGTATTTCAGATACTTCAGTTCGCCAGTGATGCCCACTGTTACTAGAAAAAAAATCTTTCAATCTACTTCAGTTAGAAGGATGGTGACTGGGAGAGCAAAATTAAGAAATAGATTAATCATTCATGATATAAAGACTTTGTATGCTTTAGATAAGGCAAAGCCTGCTTTTAAATATGCTTATAGAGAGTGTGCCTGGGGAAGAGGACAAGTCTTTCATCTTAAATGTGCTTCTCAGTTTTTTTCTGGTCAAAGTAAATCTGAAGAATCCTCTAGTAGATGATTCATACCACCTAGATTAAATTCAAGATCTGAATCACTGCTACAATATATCCATGCAGAGTTTCTTTCATGCCACCATCTCCCAAAATTGCTGTATTTAACTAACACAGTATTTGTCCTGGTTACCCTTCAGCAATGCAGTCAGACACAGTCAGGAAGCCAGCATCTGCTTCAAAATATTTTTTTTTAACTAATCAAATCATACTAACCAAAGTTGCTTAAAACTGGTATTCTGTCTTGCTCCTTAAAAAAAAAAAAAGTGAGCTTAAGTAGCATCATTTTATAACCCAAAAGTTTAGTGTATCATTTAAATGTTGCAGGATCTGAAGCAGGCCAGGATGACATCAGTATTTCCTTAAAGAAGGCCAGCAGTAAGTCCACAGTGTATGTCTGAATACATGTGGTTCAAATGACATAATGTTAACTTTTTCCGCTCTCTCTCTGTTGTTCTTTTGAGAATAAATTTACACTTTTTTGGTTTGTTTTTTTTTTTAATAGCGGGAAGGTGATACATGGTGAGTAAAAATTTTTGAGGTCATGGAAGAGGCTTTTCAAAACCACATTTTCCTTGTTTCAAATGTCCTTTTATTACTCTGTTTTGTCTAAAAAAAAAATAAGCCTGAAAGTTCATAAACTTTACTTGCCAGTTGTAGGCTAGAGACCTGCCCTTGCTCTCCCTGTAGGTAATGGTAAAACATCCAAACACTGACTCATCCCTGTGCTGATCCAAGTCCCATCCAGAGATGAGTTGTTTGTATTCCTGGTGAAGTGAACCCCGAGGGCTGCTGGGCCTGCTTTAACCACGGGGTGTTTCTGCCTGCCAGGGAAAACCATTTATTTGGCCTCACCTGTGTTGACCTTTCTGAAACCTTCTCCTGGCTTTCTGACTTCTCTTTGCTTTGTTCTGGTCACAGCACAGTTGAGAGGCTGCCCTAACCTTGGGCATCCTCCTTGAAGGTATGTCTGCATCAAACCACAGAAATGGGATAAGCCCCTGGGAATCATCCCCGAGGATTGGACCTATGGCATCAGTAGCACAAGCATTTACTGTTTTCACTAACAGAATAATTCCATTAGTGGGCATCAGTAGGTTGTTATCCTCTTAGATGGATTTTCTGCTTACAGATGAAATACAACACAATAAAACTGGATTAAAATAGCAGCAATATAAATACATGAAAAGAACAAAGAGAAAGAAGCTGGGTAATTATTGATGGAACACAGGACTGTATATTCAAGCTAGTGGTAATCTTCAACAAATTATTTTTGAGAGTTTTTTTTTTTTACCTAATTGAATTGCAAGTTTTAAAAAGTGGTAAACATAATCTAATTAATAACATTTTTGAACATACTGAGGAAAATCTAAGGTAACCTCAAAAGACTTTGCAACATAAATTGTCTTAGTGTTATTAGTACCTAACTCAAGCAAAAATAAACTGCAGAATGGAGCACAGGCACAGGAGATTCCTGATGGAGAAGTGTTAGTGCAGAAGAATGACAGCCAAAATGCAGCACTGAGACAAACAATCAATATTAGCCATTCTCATTTTCTGGCATAATGAGATTGCTCAGATGCTCAGCAGTACCTTTTTTGTGCTGGGGAACAGTTTTGACTATTGCTTAATAACAGTCTGAAACTTTTCTGGTGGTGAGCAGAGCTCAGCCCTGGTGCATTTGGTGACATTGTCATCCAGAATCTTTCCTGTGTTTATTACTGGGATTTTGACCTCAAATGGCAGATACTTGTGTGAGCAATGCACCTCAAATAGCACTGAAATTTCAAATGGAACCATATGATTTTAGAATTCAGTTCAAGCTACTGAGAGATTTATCAGGAATAGTTGTATTTGTCCGATCCAGCTTCAGCCTGTCCCTGTCCCCAGGTGAGTGATGGTGTCTGGTGCAGCTTTTTCCTTCTTTTGTGAGATGCTGGAGGCCGAATGGGATTCAGATTAGAGGGTAGGCTGGAGAGGAAGAGGCAGGACACAGGTGGGAGCATTTAATGGAGAATATGTATTACTAGGGATAAAAGAGAAAAGGCATTATGAGAGAAAAGATTTTGAAAGCATTTGCAGGACTCTGGGAGACTGAGACCTGGGGAAAAGGGACCATGCTACTTTAGGAGGAATTGGATGTGAGGTTTTGAAACCAAACTTTTTTCTTCTGGGCTCTTGGTAAGAAAGAACGTGCACAGTATAAATACACACACCTGCCTATATAATAAGATAAACCGAAGAAAATAATTAAATTACCATTTTAAAGCTATGTAAGAAGAAACAGAAAGCTGAGTATCTTAAATACAGAGAATGAGCAGTCAAGAAGGATAAAGGAGGGTGTGTATCAGATTTTCATCAGGGTCTGATTTACTTATTTGACCCCTGGGAGTCACTGTCTGTCTGTGAAATGCCCCCGAGCCAAAGGACCTGTACTCCGGTCAGATGTGCCTCCTCTGCATCGCATGTGTGTGAGACAGAGACACGGAGTGGTGGGCAGGGGAAAGACACTCCGCTGGGAAAGCTGGAAGGTGGCTGAACTTTAACAGAAAGACCATTTCCTTTGGGCAGGCACAGCGTCCTTGTGTAGCCCTGCTGTCCCTGTTAACCCCGGGCTCAGGGGAGCACATCTCTGTGTGCTCGGCAGCGGACAGGCTCTGGGCTCAGTGGCTCTGGAGTCACTCACTCTGGTTGAAATCTGGGAGCTGGAAACTGTCTGCCCAGCTGGCATGCCAGGGGAATAGCAGGAATAGTATTATAGAATTTGTGGTGTTGGGAATGTGGGTATGGAGCTGGAGCTTGAACAGGTGGACAGGAGTGGTAAGAATGCATAATTAAATAAGCAAAGGCTGCATAATGGAATCTGTAGAATCTGCTGGCATCCCAAGGTCCACATTCAGCAGCACTTCTGTCACCATTTGCAAACTACTGAATCTGACAGGTAGAAACCAGTGCTGAATGTGGGATGTCGGCTCAGAAAAAGGGGGCTCTGTTCTGATTCTCTTAACCTGAGGCCTCTGCTGTGAGATTAAGACATCTCCATTGGCCATCTACAGGTAATTAACATTCCAGTTCCACCGTGCCTTTCTTCTGCACAAGGCAATGTGTGGAGCTGTAATGAGCTCTGGCTTCTGAAGGGAGGCTCTGTGTGAGAGGGGAGCAGCGTTCAGGGCAGAGGCACAAGAGGTGGGACAGGAATGCCCAGGTGGGTGCTGCCAGCTCGGCTCTGGCTGGTGACCGCTTTTATTTCCCAAACCACAGGGACCCAGTGCTGCCTGTAAGAGATCTATTCCTGTATGACAGAATCAGAGACTCACTGAGGTCGGAAGGGACCTCTGGAGATCATCCAGTCCCACCCCCAGCCAAAGCAGAGTCACCGAGAACAGGTGACACAGGAACGCATCCAGGTGGGTTTGGAACGTCTCCACAGAAGGAGACCCCACGACCTCCCTGGGCAGCTGTCCCAGTGCTCTGAGTTCTTCCTCATGTTGAGGTGAAACTTTCTGTGTTTCAGTTTAAGGCCATTGGTCCTTATCCCATCGCCGGGCAGCAGTGAAAAAGAGTCTTCAGATTAACAGGCCCAGCTCCCACAGCCTGCCCTCGTGAGAGAGGCTCCAGACCCCTCATGAACCTTGTGGCCTATGCTGGGCCCTCTCCAGCACTCCTGGTCTTTGTTGTACTGAGGAGCAGCTGGGCACAGTGATAAGGCTCAGGGCTTATAATTAAATATGACGGACTCGGCAGTGCCGGGTTAATGGTTGGACTTAATGTACAGGTCTTTTCCACCCTGAAGATTGATTGATCACCGCATCAGGCGATTAAACCACGCAGGGCTGGCGGGAATTCCCTGCCGAGCCGTACACGGCGACCCGCCTGGGGTGGAAACCGGTTTGGGAGCGGCCGGGCAGGACCAGCCCCTGAGCCCGGCCTGAGGCGGGCGCAGCTCCGCGGGCACCGCGGCTGGGGCAGAGGGCCCGGGCCGGGCCCGTGAGGGTCTGTGAGGGCCAGGGGGATCGGTGGGGTCCGTGCAGCCCCGTGCTCCCCGTTCGCGGAGGAATCTTGCCCCGCACCGCGCTCCGTCCGGGGCGGGGCGCAGCGGGGCGGGCTCGCCGGTGAGGGGCACGCGGCCGCCCCGCCATGTCGGTCCGCCGCGCCCTGGCGCTCGCCGCCTGCGGGCTGGCGGGCGGCTCCGTCCTGCTCTCCGCCGTCGTCGTGGGCAAGCAGCCGGCCCGTGGCGGTGGCGATAGCGAGCCGCGCCCGGGGGGCTCCGCCGTGCCCTCCGCCGCGCCGCCCGGCTTGCTGCTGCTGCCGCCCACCGCCTCCTGCCCGCCGACCGCCGGCTGGATCGAGAGACCCGCCGGCAGCGGCAGCTACTGGGACAGCAACTGGGACAGGTGGGCGCGGCCGGGCTGCGGTGCCGGGGCCGCCTCCTCGGCCGGGGAGGTCGCGGCTGTGCTGAGGGGCCGGGGGGATCCGGGGGCGGCGGGAGCTGCCCTGAACCCCTCTCCGGAGCCCCGGGGGCAGCGGGCTCGGGGCGGGGCAGGGCCCCTCGGGGGTCGGGAGGCCCCGGGTCCCCACGGGAGCCGCCCCCGGCTCGACGGGACTCGTTTCCCGGTGAAATTCCGTGTGGCGACCTGTTCAGAGCTGAATCCAGCTGAAGTTCGTGCGCACCCGTGGAGCGCTGGAGGGATGAGAGGGCGCTGGGTGTTGTTCAGACAGCTCGGACACTTACCCTGTGCAGATCCCTTTATTTGATGCTTTCTGCCAGCGCGACTGCTAAGCCTCAGGCTTGTGATAAATGTAAGCACTGGGCAGAAGCTTGTCTTTTTTATTTATTTTCCAGCCGTGCCTCGGTGTTGCTGTGTGCCTGCAGCAGGTTTTCAGCTCCCTGTGGATGCCAGGCGCTCTCACGTGCTGGGCAGGCACGGGGCTGCTGCTCATGGAGCTGCCTGGGCTGAAATCCTTCTAAAGGCACTGAGGCTTTGAACCAAGCTCACTCGTGTTCTTCAGCGCTGAAACATTCACGCAATGGTTGGCTACATTTTTCTGAATCTTTAATTAGAACGTGCAGATATCTGCATGGAGCTTTGGCTCATTTGGCTTCGGTCTGGTAGAATTATCTCCCAGGGGAGACTTATGTCAGGCTCCAGCTTAATCATAGTAAATCCAAACCTAAGCACTAACAGATTTTTATTGTATAATGCATCATTTTGATTTTTGAGAGGCTACAGGATCAAATGCTCATGTAAATAGGGCTATGTACACCCCAGTTTTAAAAATACGTTCATTAAATATGGTTACAGCTGGTTACACAATTATACTGAGGGAGGTACTAAAGCTGTTTGTTTAACTGCAGCTCCAGGCCTTCCTGCTTCTGCTAAATGCTTGATTTTCTTCAAGGATTCTACAGTACTTTCAGACTCAAGTAATTTTTTTTAACCAATCCAGGAAGTAGAGATTGTGCTTTAGCTTGCAGAGCTGTCACCACTGCCTGAGCAAACATGGCCAGATACTTCCTAGCAGGTCAGGACAGCCAACCACCATTTGTCACAGTGTGCAAACAGTGGCAGTGGAATATGTTACTTACCCCAGATCAATTTGTTCTCTGCTGCCTGTGGTCTACCAGTTGTGCCTTAGGTTGTGCCTGCTTGAAATCTTAATCTTGACTTTTGGATGTTACTGGCAGAAGCAGTTAATGTGCAAAGTTGTTAAATGGTTTATCAGAATATCTGACCACTGTTCTTTGGGAGCAGAATGTTTAGAAAGTCACGTCCCGAGCAGATAACTAGATGCTGCAATATTCTTAACAACCAATGGCTTTTCAAGTTTGAAACAAACAAATGCAAATATCAAACTTGTTATTTGTCTGACAGGGTATCACACGTGGAATGTTGGTCTCTGCCACTTGCACAGGAGTTGTGCAACTCAGTTCTCAGAGAGGACAGATCTGGTTTCATTCATGTGGAATACGTAATGGCAGACATCAGATGAGTTATTCCCCTTGCTGCTCTACTAATGTGCTTGAATTGATTTTAAAGATTTTTTAGTTTTCCTACTGTATCTTGCCAGCAGTATAGTTTCCAGTGAATCAAAAGTATCCTGTGAAGTAGCAATAGAGCTTCTTGTTACTGGCCTGTTGTTTCATTTTTAATGCCTTGCTGAGGAATTAACAGCTTGAGGACTGTGTAGAGCCTCATTGTCTAATGGAAATTGTGTTCAGTAAAGCAAAATGGAGGCAGGAGGGCTTTGCACAGCCAGTCTTGCTGTGAGAAATAGGTGAGGGAAGCAGCAATTTTCTGTGAACAAATTACTTTTTCCCAAACAGAATAAAAATTATTTTCCATGAAAAAAATCTTATCATCAAATAAACAAGTTTAATACTGGAAGAAGTGAGGTGTAGTATGAATAAAATATGCTCTGAGGTGGAGTGACATAGAAAAGGATTTGCATTAATGGGGTGGGGGATCAGTGCAGAGAGGGCCCAGACCCAGACCAGGGAAGGTTTGGGCAGGGTTGGTGCTGGAGGTGGGAGATCTGCAGCACTAAACTGTGATAGCAGAGAGAGGGGGAGATCCCTGTCCTCAGGAGGAACCAGGTCAGCTGCCTGGTGATGTGCAGAGCAGGGTGCTCGTGTGCACTGTGACAAGTGGAAGAGAGATTAAAGTGGCATGAGGGGAGAGAGTGCTGAAAAGATGAAAGGATAAGTAAAACACTCCAGGCTGAAAAATAAAAATTTTACTGGAGAGACCTGATGTGACCTAGTTTAAAGCAGAAAATAATTCTCAATGTGCACTGAAGAAGGTCAGAGTCTTTCTAGGATGTTGTTGGGGGGATGACTGTTTAGTCATTTGATGTAAATGTGATTGATAAAGTGCAGATTTTGTAGGTGTTATCACAGGGCCTTTTAGACATGAAGCATTTTATTTCCTTAATGGTCAGTCAGCACCTTTTCCTCTTTTCCTGGGTATCCTTCCTGGTCAGTTTTTCTTGTCAAAAACCATACTGTTACACCCTACAAGTTTTTCTGTTGCTCATTGCTTTTTTTTTCCCAATAATTAATTCAGGTGGCTGGCACTAAGTGGCAAATTTAGTTATGTCAGGTTAGGCCTTTTAACCCATGACATTAACTTTTTTTTTTTCATGCAGACATTTATTTTAACTTTTTGCACAAAGGTTTGAATCAGTTTCATGCTACAAGTGGCTAAACTGTCAGTTTTAGTTCTTCAGCCATGTCTGGAATTAAGGCAAGGCTACATATCTGTAAAAATCCCTTGTCTCTTAGTCTCCCCTATCTAAAAATGACTCTTTAAATCTGTTTGTTTAGACGTGAACCACTGGCTCTTGTCAACCTCAAAAAGAAAAATGAAGAGACCGGGGAAGAAGAGCTCGCCTCTCGCTTGGACCACTGCAAAGCAAAAGCCACCAGGCACATATTCCTGATCAGGCACTCCCAGTACCACCTGGAGGGCCGGGCTGATAAGGACAGGACTCTCACCCCACTGGGTAGGTACCACCAGCAGCATCGTGCTTTGCATCTTGAGGAAATGATTTTTTACCTGATGAGGTCAGTAACTCAGCACTGGGTCTTGCTGCCAAACCTCAGCCTACTTTCTGTATTCCTTTGTGGCAGAAAGATGTCATGAATAAGTTTGTTTTCTTCAGTTTTGATCCAGACATTCAGATGTGATTTAGAGAGTTCTGAACACATTCAGGAACCCTGTCAAAGGAAACCCCAAATTATCTTAAAGTTGCTTTAGCAAACTTTCATGCTACCTGATGTAATTCTTAAAGGCTGTGGGTTTTAAACTTCATTGAGATGGATTTTTCTTGTGTTTCTTAATTTAATCTGCTGATTTATTAAAAAGAAAACACCTCTGACTTTCAGCTGGAGTGTTTATAATTAAATACATTGCACTTTTGTCACTGTTTCTGGGAGTACTGCTAATCACTGACATGAAATGAGGATAACCTTTGTCTGTGTTAATCTTAACTCCCTGATCCTGTCACTAGGTCTCAGATGCTAATTAGCATTACTTTTAATAATGTACTGGAAAAGCAGTGAACACTTCCTTGATTATATATTTGCCAACACTGTTTTCAGAGGGGGAAGAATTATTACTGTGGACTTTTTTCCCACCCACATCTCAATTACTGGTGTGAAAAACAGGAGTGAAATGCTAATTGCAGGCCTCAAGTGCAGTCTTAAACTGGTAACAAAGCACAATGTTAATCCTGTCTCATCCTGTGCCTTAAGTAAGTGACTTAACCTGTCTGTTGTCTTTTCACCTGGCTGCCTGAAAGGTGGGCTGAGCCTGCCTGAGGCTGCCCAGGTGCTGTGAACTGTGCCAGGCTGGTGTTGCCTTTATCAACAACAGCACACTGCAGGCCTGAGGGGGATTGTTGCTTCCTGGGGATGGGGCTGGCAGGGATATTGAGTATTTCAGTGAAAGTACTGAGTTGCTGAGTAAGCTTTGGGGTTTTTTTTCCTAATTGAAACAAATAATTTTTTTCATACTGATGCAAGTATGACTTGAAATTGTCCAACCAGTAAGCTTGGCCTTAGTAGTGGCTCTGATGAAAATGTTTTCCAGTTGCTTTTGAAAGGAAAAGGCCCAGCATCGATGTAGACCTTCTATATCAGCTGCACAGCTCTCTTGGTAGCTTGTGTGAGGTTCTAATGGGAGTGTCACCAATTTATGTAATGAATGTGCTTTGTAAGGTCGAGAGCAGGCTGAACTGACTGGACGCAGGCTGGCAAGCTTGGGATTAAAATTTGATCAGATTATCCACTCCTCCATGACTAGAGCAACTGAAACAACTGAAATTATAAGCAAACATCTCCCAGGTAAGAAACTTCCCTCAATTTTTCATCGACTTCTGATCCTTTAAAACTGCTTCCAGTAGAATTCCAAGCTTGTCCTTAAGGTTGAGATGTTATTTAGCCATTTCCCAGCCCTGTGTGAATGTCTGTATTATAAAGAAACCTACAGATGTAATTCTGCTTGTTTCCAAATTATCTTTAAAAGTACAAATACACTTTTTCAAAGTGCAACAGACAGCCTGTTCTGTTCAGTTGGAATAAGCTGTCTTGCTGATGGCAAAACAGTTTTGTTGGAGAGATTCATGTGGGAGAGTAAGCCTTCCTCAAAGAAAGACTGTGAAAAATGTATTGATTGTAGAGTTGTGGGGCTGTTTCTAATGGCATGTGAACAACTTGTTTCTGAATGTGTATCTAATATTTCAGGAGTGAAAAAAATCAGTACTGATCTGCTGAGAGAGGGAGCACCTATAGAACCAGACCCTCCAGTCTCCCACTGGAAACCAGAAGCTGTGGTAAGCTTTTTTTTTTAAGTTTTTTTTTATTTATGGTTTGGGGGTTTGGACAGTATCAATAACTGGCAGTGTCTGAGCTGATGTTTGTTATCACAGCCCTTAGATAACTGCATTCTTTCCTCCTGCTCAGTAAGTGTGCAGAGCAGTTAAAGTAACCTGCAGTCCTTGAGCATTAGTTGAGCCCCAGGGTGCAGGCAGTGCCAGGAGCTGCAGAGCAGGTGAGGGGTGCAGGCAGTGCTGCTGTGAGCTGTGTGGCACTGTGCCCCCAGCAGTATTACGAAGATGGCGCTCGCATCGAGGCCGCGTTCCGGAACTTCATCCACCGAGCTGACGCCAAGCAGGAGGAGGACAGCTACGAGATCTTCGTGTGCCACGCCAACGTCATCCGCTACATCGTCTGCAGGTACGGCTGCTCCGGGGGGCCATCCCACAGGGCCACTGCTGAGGGAGGAGATGCCTTGATTTCGCTTCTTTGAACTGTTGGAGATCAGTGCCTGCATTGTGAGCAGCTGCTGCTGCCACTGCATCAAGGCACATTTGATAATTAGAACACTTTCATTCTAATTCTAAAGCAAAAATGGCTAAGTCAGGGAAACTTAACCTTTTTTGTACGTGTGGACAGTTACTTTAGTTACTACATGCTTCTGCTTCCATAAACCTGAGGGTAGTGCCTGTTGGAAAAGATTACAAATAGATGCATTACTGGATGCATCTCTTTGAGGTGACATGAATTTGAGCTTACATAATTAAAGATTGATTCCATTTTGGGAATTCTTTACTAATGGATATTTTTGAGTTATGTTGAAGTTGCATTAGTGTGTTTTTGCAGTATCATCCAGTATTGCATTAAAGGGAGAGGGAGAGTGGATCTTTCCGATAACATCAAGGTTGTTCATAACGGAGAAAACAGTTCTGGATCTTTGCCTGTCTCTGTATCCAGTCAGCTGAGTCTATTTTATTCCTCTTCCCCATCAACAAAGCACTGTCTGTAAGATAATTTGTCGTGAGCAGGACAGATGTGATTAAACTTTAATCTGATCAATACCCACAACAGTTTCAGTTAGCTTTATTTAGCTGAGCTAGGTAAATGCTAGCCTGTCTGCTCTGTGGGCTATACTTTCAAAATTCCTATACTTGAAATTATTGATCAGGTAAACAGGCTGTTCTTTCCTGTGCTAAAAAATACCACATTTTTCCTGCCAGGGCTTTATCTGAAACACTTACTTACCTTTTCTCTTTGCTGTTGCATTCCTCTTCATTTTAATGTCTCTTCTGTGCAGTGAATCTGATAGTACAATGGAACACAATCCATGTAATATTTCCTTCAAATCTAGCTTGGCTGTAGCTGGTATTTAATTTTTCAAGCTTTCCACAAGACTTTCATAAGAGCCAAAACAAAGTTATTCCTCAGTATCAGAGGCAAAAGCTGTTTGATGCAACATGGTGTTTTTTTCCAGCTGTTTAATACAATTGATGGAGCTCCTGAGGCTGAGTTAGGAAATTCAGAATGGCTGCAGACCAACTGTGATGCTGTGTTTCTGTGGAAGGCACAATGTACTTGTCCTTCCTGGGGAATGATGTAGCCCATTGAAAGTAGTGGCACATGGAGGCCACTGGAGGGAATCCTGTGTCACTGCCTTTGCTGTGGGGGTGTGGCTGGAGTGTGACAGTCACTGTTTGCCACATCCAGGTCCCTCTCTGCTCAGGCAGCCCCCGGGTGCTGAGCCAGCTGTGTCCCACCTGCACAGGTGTTGTGGTGCTGCAGCCTCGCTGGGCCATCCCTGCCCCGGCTGTGAGGGGCTGCTCAGGGCACTCCTGGCAGCCTCCCTGTGTGGAGCTGCTGCTTTCTGTCCACTTGAACTAATCCTGTCAGCAGTAATCACACCCATCTGCTGGGCTCTGCTTACCCAAGGGCACTCTTGGCCCCGCTCCAATTACCACCGCTGTGGTTTTACAGCATTTCCACAAGAAAAGGCTTTTTTCCAAGGCTGACTGGGGGCATTGGTACAAGCTGCACTATGCCCACCAATTTTGAGTTTCCCCCTCCTTCTCCCCCTTATCTGGGACAGAAGGTGATGCTGTGAGGGTTTGTTAATCCAGCTGTTGATGAATTACTAATCTGTGTGTTCTGTCCCCAGAGCCCTGCAGTTCCCCCCAGAGGGTTGGCTGCGACTGTCCCTCAACAACGGCAGCATCACACACTTGGTGATCCGTCCCAACGGCAGAGTGGCCCTTCGAACGCTGGGTGACACAGGTTTCATGCCTCCAGACAAAATCACACGCACCTGAGTGAGCCAAATGGCTGGAAGGCTGTCCAGGAGCTGCCTCTAGTCTCTTTGCACTAGCACATTCTGCTACAGTACCACTAGATTTTTATTACGTTGGGGTGTGATGCTGTCTTAAAATGTCCTTTAGCCCCATTCCTCCTTCATATCCATATCTGCCTTTCAGTCCGGAAAAGAAGAAACCTTTGTAAGCCTGAACGTGTCCAGTCCTTAAGTATTCCCCAAAACTCAAAGCTGAGCTGTGAAATACAGGTTGAATGTCTGCTCAGCAGTTGCAAGAGCACTGACTTTTCCCTCACCCCGCTGTGAATTTCTCTAACCAAAGCTTGCTCCTGTGGGTGTTTTTCTTGTGCAGGAAAGCGACTGGTGTGTGAACAGTCTTATATCACACTGCAGCTAAAACAAAGGTGAGCCCGCTTGTTCCAGCTCCTGCAGAAGTGACAAACAGGGAATTCTGCTGTCCAAAGGACAAAGGGATAAAGCTTCAGTTTTTGTAAGCTGTTGAATATGTATGTTGATGTTGTGTCATTGTTCCCCTCTGCCCCCAAAAAGCCCATGTAAACTGTGCCTGGAGGTTATGAGCATGAAAGAAAGAGGGTAAAAAAAAATTGCCTCAGAGCTGTGGTGCTAGAACTAACTGCTGCTTATATTAAGTGTTCACCATCCTCAGGATGTCCTTTAAGATGTTCTTAAGAATATTTTTCAGTCTTGTAAAGCCTTTAACCAAAACATGGTCTGGAGAAGGCTGTAGGGATGAGGCTGTAGCAGTAAGATGGGAGGAAAGGAAAGCAGCAATCTTCTCAAAGTGCTTTCAGTCACTGATACATTTTTGAGTGCTCTTTCCCACTGGTTTGTAGTTGATACCTTACTTTCAGAGTAGAGCAATACCACCACTGAGTTCAGGGTAGTGGTGCTGCAGGTCAGAGGTGCTGCAGCCCTGGAGCAAACTGCTGTTGCCAGCATGGTGAGCAGGTGGCCATGGGGTGGCTGGTCTAGGGCCCAGGCATTGGGCAGAATGCTCCAAGGGCCCCCTGCAGACAGCTCTGATGCTGCTGGGCCTGTGGGAGGGGAGGGCTCAGAAGCATTCTGGAGCTTGCTGGCTACCCTGAGCCCATGCAGAAGCCTGGCTCAGTTAACAGTAGGACAGCAGATGTAACTAACTTGTTTGACAGATTCTCTGATCAATAAGGATGTTGATGATGCTGAACTTACTCCTGTTAGAGCTGTATGAAGCGTAATCACACAGCCTATGGAGAAGAGGATTTAAGGGTTTGATACTGAATGCTGCTACATCAGGATCAGTTCAAGGAACAGGGTAGGGAGCAAACTGATTATTGTGTAGTGTAAGGTGTGGGGGGCAAGAGGAAACCATCATGATGTATCTCTCATTGATGCAATGAGAATAATTTATCAGTTTTTGTCTATTAACTTTTTTAAAGTTTTGAATAAAATACTTGGTCTGTCTGTCTTTCCTGTCTCTTCAGCTGAATGGCTGCATGGGCAGCTGTAGCAGGTGTGGCTGGGGCTCTGCAGGGACTGCTGGTGCAGGACCTGGTGTGTCCCACACTGCTCAGGGCAACAGCTCTTTCACCAAGCACCTGAAATGTAAACTGGAGCTGGGAGCCAGAGCAGTTAATTGTCATCAGCCATAGAGGTGCCCAAGAGGGGAACTGCTGCAGCCTAAGCACAGCCCTTTGCAGGACTGTGCCACCACCACGAGGAACCAGCAGCTGTAAGATGAAAATTCTGTGATTTTTTTTAGTGTTGTGTGGGTGCATATGTACCCTCACACACATCCCCTTCTACATCCCCTGTGTCAGTGAATGAGCTCTTGGTGGGTAACCAGAGGACACAACACCTCTTTGCACAGGTACAGAAATTAACAACAATTTTGGTGACACTTCAAGTGGGAGTGGAAAGTGTGAAATTTAAAATTATGTCTTTTTTACCACAGGCTGAGTTCCTGTCTCTTCAACACTGTCAGACTCTTAAGTCTTGGGTGGTGTAGTCCATTGTCACTGTGCACACACACAAAAGCTGCAGGTACTGGACAAGCAAGGCCTGGACAAACCAGTGAGTTGCCCTGCCATGCCCAGCTCCTCCTCCCCACATCCCATATTCAACACAGCCATTCATTTCAGCTATTTATTTGATTTTAATAGAAAGTGGGATACTTCTGTATTTTTAACATGACACTTTGCTAATTAAAAAACAACCAACAAAAACACAGCTATTTTGCACCTTTAAAAGTGAACTTTTGGCCAAGAAAACACAATTCAAGCACTATCACTCTGATTTAAAGTGTCTCCACAGGCTCAGTGTTGAAGGGCTTTCTTCACAAAATCACAAATGATCAAATTGCTGCATAAGTTGCTATTTCTGTCATAGCTGAAGTAACACATTGTTAGAAAAATGACCTCTTAAGTACAACTGGACTAATGCACATTATATAACACAGTTAAAAAAATACTCTCCTGACTGAACCAAAACAACATTACAAAGTGAAAGGCAAGGGTGTGCTGGGTGTGTGGGGGGTGTCTGGCTACATGTACATACCAGTAACATACATTTAAATATTAAAAAAAATAAAGCAAAGCATAATAAAAGTAAAAAGGACAACAAACTAGAGTGTTAGTATCAGCCTCCTGGCTCAGTAACAAACTCTTAGCAAAAGGCAATGCTGCTGTACCCCAGCTGTGAAGGACCAGGGTGGAGAACAGCAGCTGCCCCCCACAGCAGCTTACCCCAGCACTTTGGCTCTAACATGGTATTAGGCAATTACATCAGCTGATCCATTTCTCCAGAATGATAAAGATCTAATTTACAATAAATTATTGAAAAAACCCAACCACCCAGAAAAAAAAAAAACCCCAAAACGCCAATCTCAATCCTTTTGGAGTAAATCTCTATGTATGTGGGATCTTAAAATATTTTGAGACCGTGAAGCCTGCTACATTAAAATAAAAAATTTAAAAAATGACCCAACAAAAAACCCTTATGAAATAAATCAGGTAACATACTTATTACAGAAGGTTCTTATTACAGAAGGTTATGGTTTTGATTCTGGGCTTTTTAAAACATGTTTCCTAAAGTAAGACACCCCCAGGCCCCTGGTACTTGTCTGGAATATGACTGAATGAGAGGCATTTATGTAAAGTTGCTCTTCTTAATGTCCAGCTCCATAGAACTAGGTTCAATTTTAACAAAAGGATAAGGATTCTTTTTTTTTATTTTTTAAATAATTTTTAAAAGAGGAGTCTCTCCCCCATGGAGAGCTATTGCACCAAATAATCCAACTTAGAGACATTAAAAGACATCCTGTTCAGAAAGCCCAGAGAAAAACTGTATTTTATCTGCCCATAGTAAGTGGATGCCACTTTTAAAAAAAAAAATTCCAAAAGAACAAAAAATTTAATTAAAAAAATATATTACAAAAGGCACTACTGAGCTTGCAAAAGCATTAAGTGCAGTGTTTAGGTTTGTACCAATCACGAAGCTGTGAGGGTGCACAGTTTGTGCAGAACAGTCACTGCCGCGGGAGAGCCCCGGCTCGGGAACGGCCCCGAGGGCCGGGTGGGACCTGGGGGAGGCCGGGCCAGCCCCTCCCGCCCCCCCCGTGTTTGCTCCGCTCGGTGCCCTTCTCTTCCAGCCCTGCCAGGTGGCTCTGAGCTCTCACTGACCGTGGCACCAGCCCACCCTAACCCAGCCCTTCTCACCAGCACAGCCCTGCAGAACTTCATACTCTGATCAGATTTATCTTGTAACAGTAGATAGGTCTTTTTTCTTTTTTTTTTTTTCCTTTTTTTTATACTAGAGAGCTGTTTCTGGAAGCCTTTCATGCAACATTACAAGCACTAGGCTTGATATGGAAAACTCTCTGGAGTTTTGAAAAGCTTTCTTATTCTCAGCATCACGCTGTCAAAACAAGTCATTCTTACAGAAGGCTGCAGAATAAAATTATTGACTGCTGTAACAAAAACTCATTACCACATCAACACCAGAGACACAGTAAAAGCTCAGATTTCATAAAAATATTTTGTCCTTAGTCCTCTCTCTTTACAGCTGGGAAATAGCCACCTCCTGGGCCACTGGCTACCATGCTAATATATTACAAACCAGACCATTAAGATAAAGTATCTTGCTGGTAAATTTGCTGAGATTATTGCTGATGTGCTTTTGTGTAATAACTATTCAAATCTGCTAGTGTTAGTAGCTTCTCTGGGGAAAAAATAACCAGCTAATTCCTAAGCTTTTCTTTTCCTTTAATCTTCCACTACCACTAAAGGAATCCCAATAGTTTCTACAGTGCCCTGTTTCTAAAGCACTCAGATCTCAGTGTCTGTAACAGCCTCAGAACAAGCAGAGCCTCGAGGGTCTCTGTGCAGATCTGTGCACACACACACGGACACACAGGTGCGGGTGGCTGTGGGAATCAACTGCCCAGCCCAGCTGGCTGGAAACACTCTCTGCTTCTGCACAGGGCTTCACATCCCTGCTCCACACTGCAAAGCTCTCCTCACGTTACCAGGCATGCTTTAGGCTTTTCCCCCTGCAAGCAGGAAAATGTTTCTGCCATCAATCTCCTCTCCCACATTCTATTTGCTGATGATGCATTTCCTCGACTATCCAAGGTCAAGAAAGGCAGTTGAGGGCTGTGTGGTCATTACAATGAGGATAAGGAGTGATAGCAATTACCACCACTGCTAAGGACAGTTCAGCCCACTGTGGTACTGGCAACAAGGGTTAATTCAGCTACTGGACAACTGCACTCACAAACTTCTTGCTTATCACCAGTAATAATCTACCTTGTATGTGGCATTAAGACAGATACTCCATTATTTAAACATACAGTTGTCCTCAATTGAGGAAAAATAAATAGCTGAGTACAAACCTCATGTCACCTTAGTAACATTGTAGTTTTTCCTCCACTCTACCAATGAGAACAGAACTGAAGTCCCAGGATGAGGAGTTGCACTCTAGTGGGCAGGAGGCTCTGCAAAGTAGCGCAGGATGCAGGCGGGGCTGTAGCGCCCGGGGCTGCCGGGCTCCGGAGGGAAGGAGCTGCCGTGTTTCCCCTGTTTCCCCGGGCTCCCTGGGATGGGACTGTTTCTTCCTGAACTAGGATACACTGAAGCATTTGGAAGACCAGCAGCCATGGACTGGGACTGGAATCTTGCCTTCAACGCTGGACTTGGCCAACTGAAAGAAACCAGAAGTCATTGCACACGTTTTAAAGGAAACTGTAATAGTGAGAGCAGCACTTTAACTCAGAATCACTTTAGATCTCAGAACCAATGCACCAGCTGAGAAAAATCCTGTCTGGTAAGAGATAGATCTGGAAGAAGAGAAGGAACAGCAAGAGCATGAAATATTCTAAATGGATTGTTGCCCAATATTCTATATTCTATATATTCTAGGTTCTATATTATAGATTCTATATATTCTAGATTCTATATTCTATACAGATTGTGTTGCCCAAATCAGTAAGACATCATTTCCTTCAAAATGGCCGTGATGACACAAACCATCCTTCACATGAACAGTTATTTTGGACTGGGGTAATAAAGAGTAAAAATAAAACCACTTAATAAGATGCATAAAGATAATAAATTCATATCAATATCCCTCAGCATAATCTAAGTACCACAAGGCAACAAACACAACATTCCTGCACTGCATCAACAACAGGATGAATTACAAACCAACAGCACAACTATCACCGAGTCCAGTGAAGGATCCAAGTACCAAATCAGCAAAGTGAGACACTGGCCAAGTGGAAAACAGTCACATCTGATTTGTCTGTGGAGACATGCTCAAGTTACCTGGGACAGCAGTAGAACGGAAGGAACATGACTGCAGCACCAGGAAACTCCTTATCAATAGACACCAGTAAAAAAGGCTTTGGTGATTAACTTCAGAACACAGTTAATTCTGCTGAATTTAAAATACAGGTTTGAGGGCAACAAGGCCTGAAAATCTGCTATTCAAGCTGATCTGCTAAAAATGTACTTCAGCTCCTGTGACTGAGTTTGCAGCAATACCTTTGCCTGTCAGATGAGGAGTAGGATTGCACTGCGTGTTTCCATTTGTAAATCATTGGGAATTTCTGGGGATCAATCTCTGCTCCTTCTATAGCTGCTAAGACATCACCATCCAGCTTTGAGGGCTGCTCCCTAGAATGAAAACAGAACTAGATGAAAAGAGAACCATGTATTTGTTCAGGCAATGAAACACCCCACTTCCCAAACACTTAGCTTTATATTAGCAAAGAGATTGTCTGTGCAAATAGGAGTTAAATAAGGCAATTCTTACCCAAGAAGGAATAACTTTAAATTGTCGTTTGTGGGTGAAGTCTTTGAAAGAAACTTCTGGGAGGGAAGTTCTTGACGTTGCTGTGACTCCCTAGTCTGAATTCCAGATTCTCTGGACACTCTTTCCTTTTCTAATGATATTCTGTGGTCTGTCCTTAACTTGGTCTCTCCATATTTTCCTGTAACATTTGGATCAGAAGAACTTGCCAGTGACACTGCAGAGCAGGTCTTGTCCAGAATTCCCTCATTCTCAGTTTGTTTAGTGATTTTATGAGATACTCCTGCAACCTCTTGTTCTTGGAATGACAGGCCTTCAAATTCTGACATCAAATTGGAAACAGGTGACATGAGGCATTCTGACCCATCATGCAGCTGCTTTCTGTCACTGATGATCCTTTTACTGGACACAGGACTGCAAAACCCATTTTTGCTGGCAGCAGCCCCCTTCTCATAGTGCCGAGGGTGAGCTGAGGTCTCTATGATGTTTCCTGCACACTCCATGGACAGGATGTCACACTCAGCATCTCCAATGGCATCAATGCTGGGCTCCTTGGACACCAGAGAGGGGCTGATATTTCGTGCTGCATTTTGTCTGTTTTTAATTTCTTCTAAGCTCATGTCATCATCATCCTCATCCAAAAATGCTCCAACAGAAATGGAATTGCAGGACTTTTTGCTTTTGCCTGTAAACAGTTTTAACAAGAGCAACACATAAGAAGACTTTAAACAGAATGTCAAGTACATAAGCTAGGAAAAAAATGCACAATCCTTATGCCTTATTCTATTTCCTGAAGACCTCTCTGACAGTATGTAACAGCAAGAACTAACCTGACTAAAGTAACAAATGCAAAATATACACATGGCAAGCAGTGGTCTAAGGTATAAAAGCTTTCCTGGGTTTTGCTTCTTGTGTCTTTTCAGGTTCACAGTTGTGAAGAAGAATTATTCTTTTATTTTTAAAATGTTATTTATTCCATATCTGTGGATTACAAAATTCTATGCTTTAAGATGAATGCCCAAATGCTCTGAGTGAAAACATTCTGAAGACAGAGGTTTTCTTACAAGGATTTCATTTGGGTGTACACTCAAATAAACTACTTCACATGGAAGATAAAGTCTGTACTTCTACATTCACAGCTGGCTCTTTTTCTGATGCTGTACTCAGACTGTCTGGGTAACAGGTGAATAACAGCAACCACCATAGGGAAATACTGCTTCCCCTGGGCACCAAGCTTTTTCTGTCCCTCTTCTCCCCAGGTACAACCCATTGTTTGCAGCATTTGCCCTTTTCTTACCAGAGGGATGTGGAGTTTTGTATCTATTGCAGGTTTCATTTTCCCCTGTTTCTGGCTGAGCCTTTTCGCTCATTTCACGATGACTCAGGTACTCTTCTAACTTTCGCAGCCCCTCCTGGGAAGACAGATCAACAAAACAGCCCAGAAATTCCCAGTATTCAACCCACGGGAACCCCAGCTCATGAGCTAACTCCCTGCAATAAATAAAATAAAACGAATCATTTGTGAAGACATAAATATCAGTTTGACAACAACTTTTCTGATCACATTTTAACAGCTACAAACAGGAGCACAAACAAACACCCAGGCAACACAATCCCACCACAACCAACAGTCTGCAAAAGCACACACACATCCTTAGCAATCAAAGTATCACCTCATTTGTCCAAGAGCATTTTTCACATTTCATCTACTATTTTTACAGTTGGCAGCATAAACATTGCTATCTTTAAGCTGACTGTATCTAGACATCAGACAGAAGAATCCCCACTGATACTGCATGCACCAGCTTTTTCTATTTGGGAATGGGAGAGGGAGGAGGAAGTGAGGGATTATTTTAAAGAATGAAATGCAGTCAGCTTTGAACAAATTATTTTTTTCATATGTTGCTGGTAGAAGGTATTTTAGCTGCAAGGACACACCACACACACACAGCTTTTATAAAACAGCAAATTTGTATTAGGATCTTTTCATTCTGCTCCCTTTTAGCAATCCCTCACTTTCACAGAACAAACAGGCTACGCATCATTTTAGATCTGACAAATGAGGCAAGTAAATATCTGTGAAAAGCATTCCATACATACCATCAATAACAGCTAAAATATCTTTAGTGCCAAAGCTAAGAAAGCCAGGTCTCACATTTTAACTATCTTATTTACACAAAAAACCAGTAAAAATCCAACTGCAAAATATTTCATTAAGTATTTCTGCAGTAGCTTTTGCCCCAAGATATTGTGCAGTGAGTAATAACTGTACTCTCAGCACAGTCTTTTGCTTTTACATGCTCTATTATTAAGTTTTTATATTGACAGTCTTTTAGATACCTTCCAACTCTTTCAACACCTCTCTCCAGATCAGATTTCCTGACATTGTGAAAGAAGCCAGCTCTCTCTCGAGGTGGAGTTTTCCACAGCCTGCGAAATTCTTCAGCCTTTAAAAAACAGAAGCAAATTCAAAAACTACCCCCCCAGTATGAACTAACTCAGTGCTGGCTACACATCTACCCACAGATGTTCAGCTGTTTGCTGTCCCTACTCCAGCTAGGAAGGATCACACTGGATCTAAAGTTGCTCCTTTCACTACTGGTGGTTACTCTGATCTCTACACTGCTCATGAAAGAGAAGGACCAGAATGTACCATAACCATCTGAAAATCAACTGCACAGACACCACATCTGCCTGGTTTTAATGTGTGTGCAGCAGGAAACAGAAGTGTCTTGTGATTTTGCCATGTCATTCTATTTAATTACAAATGCCTCCTGGTCATTGTTTTCTAGGCTGCAAAGGGGATATTTTTTTTATGTACAGACTTGCTACAATTATCAGAATAAATTCTTGCTGTCTATTTTGAAGTTGGAATGCCTCAGGGGAAATTTTTTGCAAAATCCTGCACTTAACTTTATGTGACAAGGATCACAATGATGACTAAGAGTTACATTCAGACATTAAAAATACATGTCAGCAATGAGCATTATGAACTGTTTATACCCTAGAGAATATTTTCTGGAGTACAAATAATATTTAAATTTCTGTCAGTTGAACAGAAAATTGATCAAGAACTTTTAGAAGAAAAAGCATTAAGCATTTTGGTAGAACTCAGTCTTAAAGAATGCAACCATCAGTCCTCCACTGTATTTATTCACGGTTTCTAAAGCTGTTATATTTGTAGCATGTTCAAATTAAATAAATGAGTCAAACACCTGTAAATTGGAATATATTTAACAGATATCTAAGTATTCCTTCTGAAAACTGAAGATTTTGCTTTTCCACTATACAGTCAATACATTTCCAAAACCACCCCAACACCTACTACTTGGTTTTTCCATCTAGAAAAATATATTTATGTTAATTCAACAAGCAGAGGTTATCATCCAGTGGCAACTTCTAGAAATGAGATAAACATACAGTTAAGGTTTTTAAAACTGATTCACAGCTGCTTTGAAAGGCTTTGCTTCAGGTTAGAGAGTTACAGCAATTATCTGTAAGAATTGAAAGGTTTGCCAAAGGTGCTCTTTGAATAGATGTCAAGAAAAAAAAAGAAATTTTTTTTACTGAACTTCTGCTCTTCTTATCTACACCACATTTCTGTTTTCAGCAATAAAAAAAAATATTTACAAGTTTCTGTGTTTCTCCATGGAGGAAGATCCATCTCCTCAGCAAAGAGAGAGCCACAATCTATACCGGGAGCAAGCTACACCACACAAGGAGCCCATGAGGATCTTCTTTATTCACAAAAAGGAGAAGCATGGGCACTGGAGTCACAGGGAGTTCTCTCCTTACCTTTGAGGGGCTCATGGGGCCTGCAAAAGCCCTGATGGACAGCACTGGGTCTTTGGGGCTGCCAGGGTATTTAGGCCAAGCTCTCTGGGGGCCATCGTCCGTCTGGTCGGGCGACCACGGTGCCCCAATGACCGGGGCTGAGGAATTGTCCTCTGCCCTCAGGAGTGGCACATAATAGTGACCTAAAATAAATCATACAGAGCCTTCTCATTCAGCTTCTGTCACATCAGCCTGCTGCTTCTTCCTGGACTACCAATGCACCCGTACACAGAACCATCTTAGTAAAACTACTTGTAATTCAGACTCACTGCTCCAGTGATTACAGATCACATTTTAGTGTAGGTTCTCTTCTCTGTTCAAACACAAAAACACCTGCAATAATCCATAAAGCCCTTCTCTCAGGGTCTTTAACATTTTTCACCACCTCCTTTTGCAAATGCCTAAACACACACATGACAAAACAGATAAAGTTGTGTGTCAAGGAAATTATAAAATGACAGGACTCCCCAGCATGACAGACACCTCTTGCCCTGCAAAAGGTTTTTAGATTCTTTCTGCTCCAGGCTCACAGAATCAGGGCCTTGCCTACGTTACAGAGCCATGAGGGCAACCTTGTGATCCATACATTAAGAGTTCTGACTGTCATTTAAAAGACAAAAAAGTTCTCTGTCCCTGCTCAATGTTAGAATTTCCCTTTGGTTTTTCAGAGCACTGTACAGCAGCATCATTTATAAACTCAAATGCTACAGAAAGCAAACAGGAGACAGCCAAGAGGCAAAATACACGCCTGACATAGTACAAAACTCTGCATACAGACCTTTCAAGTACTCTTTTATCTTTTCTTTCAATTCAGCAGATTTGTTCTTGCTTCTTTCACAAACTACCTGTTAATATAATTGTATCTGTTAGGGCAGCATAATAATCTCATTTTCAAATCAACTGCAATGAGTGTTCTTTCAAACAATCACATCATTGGCCCCCACCCATCTCACCCAGTACTTTTAATTCATAGTAGAGCAACCAAAATACATCCAACTTCATAAATTCTAAAACTTTTCCAAAGACACAATCAGCATAAAATATTTTTGATGTTATACAGAATTTACTCTTTAATTATGACACTAGGACCTTACAAGTCTTCTATGGTAGTCAGTAATGTGTGAATATGAAAAATGCTGATGAGGATAACATTTCTGGGTTTGCTGTGGACATGGAGAGACTTACTTCTGCTGGAGTTTGATCATATTTGTTTCTTGGATTTTTTACAATGGCTGGGTGTGAGGTAAGCACATTAACCACATCCACATTCCCAAACTTGCAAGCAAAATGCAATGGAGTATCAAACCACTGCAGTGGGAAAAAGAAAAATATTCATATGCACTTAGAAAGATTATAAAGTCAATACCACACATTTAATTTTGAGACTGAGGACAGTAAATACATGTCATGACTAATCATCTTAGCTCTTAACAAATCTGTTCCCACCATAGTGCAGAATAACGCTTACCAAAACCCACAGAACTTATGGACAGCTCCCCTTCTGTTTTGTTCTCTTTCAGTCTCCCTTAACCCTTTCCAATAATAATAATAACAATAACAATAATAATACTACTATAACAACAACGATAATAACAATAATAACAATGATAACAACAATAATCCTAATAACAACAACAGGTAACCCCCCAAATCTTACCATTTTATCTGGAGTGTTCAGGTAAAGGTCAACAATATATTGGATGCGTTTCTTCAACATGACATCGTTATCATCTGGGTACATGAGCCGCATAAATTCTGGATTTTCCAGAGTGTCCAGCAGTAACTGGCAGATAGCAGGCTGATTCTCCTTGGCAGCAACATGCATGACATTGTACCTACACCCTTCCTAGAAAAACAGACCAGTTTTAGAATGAATCTCCATCTAAACAGCTTTCTTACACCCAGAGATGTAACTGATTTAACTGTGAACATGGGTTCCTACACGGAGTTTTATATGGATATTTTTGTAAAGACTTATCTTTACACCCATATTATTTTTATAATTAATGAAATTATTCTTACACTCAGTGCCTTTATTTAAGGAAAGAATGTGGCAAAAAATACATCAAGATATTACACAATAAAGGGAGGTAGGAAGTACAGTTTAGATAAAGAGCAGGAAAATGGGTACAGATATAAAAAAATTCAGATAGTTTGCTATATTACATAAAAAATTTCAACAACTTCACAAAGCTGGTCTGATGCAAGTTGAAGATAGTCAGTGTTTGCTAAATGGCACCTTATACATGGTTTTGGAATTTAATAGAGGTGCTTAGGTAAGCAATGCTATAGGAACACCTAATTACAGCCTAGGCCCTAGCCTGGTCCTTACATTTAGTCTGTTTTAAAAAAGATTGCAATTAGTTGGAGGAGACCAAAGAATAAGAAGACAAAACTATTCCTTGCACTACTAAATGCACCTATTCCTCCTCTGAAGAACTGCACACTCAGCTCCTGTAGCTCTGCTGGAGCAAAGGCAGCTCTCAGGGTGACGTACAGAGACATGCCCCAGCTGCTGACAGTGAACAGAGAAACCCTGCACTGGGTGGAACAAGGTGTCTTGAAGGAGGAGCAGGAAACATCACTCCTTCCACTTCTGCTTTCAGGCCCCAAAAGCTACATCACTAAACCAGAACCCAGATTTTCCTGTTTTGTTGCTGGTTTCTCACCTGTACAATGGTTGGGTTGTCTCCTGACCCGATCAGGTAACGAGGGTTACTCCAAATAAGGTCAGAGAACGTTGCTGTGTCTCCTTTCTCCACAGCTTTCCGAAGCTTGGCTGTGAGATCCTGAGTCCGTGGACTTTTGTAGCTGTTGGCTCTCTCCTTATTCACAGTGTCACTCTCAGGGGAGCACAAACCATCTATCAACACACAAATCACTCCTTTCTAGAGACATTCTTTCCATGATCACCATCTGCACACCCAGGCCATGAAAATGATGCTTTTAATCTAAACCATGTATTAATTTCGCATCTTTAATACACAGGAGTAAGGAAACAACTCAATAACAAGGCATTTAAATACATAGTTGTTAGTAATAGGGAGGGAGAGGAAAATGATGAATCAACTTGTAAAAGTGTTTCAGACTTTAATAGGGACTGGTAAACTTTGTAATTACCAGTCTGCTCCCATCCAAATTTAAAAGCAAAATTCAGCAACAAACAACCATTTTCCGATTTTTAGGAGCTCTGTAACTCCTAAATCACTTTAATCTAGCAACTGGGAACACTATGAAATATGATCAGTATTTAACATTTTATTTCTGAATGTACAAATTTACTTAAGAACTGAGTACAGTTTGAATATACTGTGCCATTTTATCAGCATCTTGCTAAACCTGAAAATCCTGAAGTCCATGAGTAAAACTGAATCCTAACAAATATGACCATGGAATACTAAGCAAGGTATCCATGCAGACCATTACCTAAATTTCAGCTTTAGAAGAGTAGCAATAGTACTTTACATTTAAATCATTTTCTACATTTTCAACATTTCTACACTTAAAATAAAAGTTCTTTTAAACTTTAATTTATTCAATGCTTCACCTTTCATTTTTTTTCTGTTATTAGCGTATTGGTAAGACAGTTGTTGCTTCTCTCACAAAAAAAAAAAAATCAATGCTGTCTATTGCATCTACTGTAGAGAGATGAAGTTCCCCACTTACCTCTGTTAAATGATCCCATTTTCACTGGAGACAAACATAAAGAGGACTTGCCTGGAGATGGGAAATAATCACAGATTCCTTTAGCAAATTTCTCAGCATCCTCTCTGTTTGTAAAAGCTTTAAAACGGGAACCCTTAATCAGCTTAACAGCCTGGAGAGCTTCCTTCCTATCTTCATAAACATGTATTCTCTCTGCAACAAGAACCACCACAGTCAGATTGTTTCAATAATCTCAGATTTCAATTCCTAGACAGATTACAGAATTCCTACACTATCATTCCAGCTTTGGTCTCAGATCATTTCTCTTCCAAACATGACATAAAGGTCAAAAGTCCTTTTAAATTCTGTCCCCTGGAAACTGAGTAGGAGCCTCCCACACTCTCCAGGTAATGTCAGGTGATCCCTGTACAGGGCTCAGCCATTCCCATCAATCACACCCGTTAATGGATGGGCCACCTTCAACACAGCATTTCACTTCCAGATGGAAAAGCAAACTCAGCTAATTCACTCTGCATCACTTTTGATGCTGCTTTTCTCAGAAAGACCAACTTTGTAACTGATCCACAACTTTAATATCTCTACACAGTATCTCAGATAATAAACAAATCCTTCTCCTTTAAATGATGTTGTGCAAATAAGAATGTCTTAATGTACCTTTTCTTAGTAAGAATTCTTACTACTGTCTCAGAGGAAATAATCCTGTGCACTACTCTACTCCAGTCAGGAACAGAAAGGAAGATGTGAGAACTTTTAGAAGAGATCATTTAAGCTTCAACTGATGACAATATAATTTTTTTTGTTTGTTTATTTACAGGATTACTTTTTATTCTTGAGAGGGATTAAAGGCACAGGATGGGTCCAAGAGTAGCAGTAAGAAATAATTTTCTACATCTGAGCCACACAGGGTAGAGGATCCTCATTTATAGGAACTACAAAGGCAAACACCTGGGAAGCCTTGAACTGTTATTTCTTTGCCTCAGAATAAATATTATTTATAGGAACAAAGAAATACTTCAAACAGGGCTTACAATATTAATGCAGCGGTGTTCAGAACATCTGCTACATAAAAGAACTCTACTCAGCCATGACAAAAATGCTTTATCACTGGAAATAAGGGAAGTGAGTATTTACCATTCCTGGCCAGTATGTCATCATAAACTGGGCAAACACCATAGAACAGTGGAGGATCTCTGGATGGTGTCTGAGCAGAGATTTGTGACTCTCCAGCACCACAGGCTGGAGCTGAACAGTTCATGAGTGCCACAGCATCTTCTTCTGGAGGGTTCAGGCCCACACAGTACCCAAAGTCCACCTCCTCAGCAGCACTTCCATGGCTGTTGTGACTCCCTGGGACATTTCCAGCAGCCTCCTCCGGCAGAGCAGACCCTTCCTCCTCCAGGGCTCCTTGCTGCTCCAACAGTGCCTGAGCCAATTTTTTTTCAAAAATAAACCTTGTAGTTGCAGTAATGGGCCCACATTTCAGTCCTGCCCTCACAATCTCTTCTCTAAGCTCATCGTGGCTGAGCTTCTTTAACCGGGATAATATTGTATCCATTGTTATTGCACCTACAGGAAAGGCAACAAAGGAGAAAAAATGTAAAAACCAAAACTACTTCTTCTACTTAAATGGTGTATTAAAGCAAAGGAAACAATGCCTCTTAGCGATTCCTTGGGATTCTGAGGAGATCCTTGCAGTGCAGAAAAATCAAATTTTTCAATTCAATGTTTTTAAGCTACCAGACCCACAGCAAGTTTACTTCCTCCTCTCTCAACCACTTAAAAGAGTATTTACAGCTTACATTTTGTTCTTAGCAGTCCTTTTTCAATTTCTTCTAGAGTGAAAATTCAATCTAGAGCATTTACTCATTAAAATTAATGACAGGCTGAGAAATATTTGATTCCTGACAAGAAGGCACAATCTATTTGTGCAATGCAATACAAGGACAGGAGCACCAGTCAGCCCCAAGACAAGGGGCTGCACCCCCAGCTAAAGGCACAGAACTATTTCTAGTATTTCCTCAGGACTTTCTGGCTGACAGAAGTCATGGGGACAAGCACAGTGCAGCACCCAGGGCAGGCTTTCTCTGGCTGTGATGCAAGGCTGGAAATATGTACACAGCATGTTGTTTCCCAGGCCTGTTTTGAGAGCAAACAGCCACAAGACAAAAACAACTGATCTTTTCAGATCTCCCTCTCCAACAGAAAACAGAAGCTGGGAGAATTCCTCCATTTCCAAAGGAACCTCCTTCTCTCTGCTATGATCCAATTCCCCAGGCTCACGTCCCTCCATGTAATCCGTGCTGACAGCTTCCACACTGGTCAGCAAGAAGACACTAAAACCAAGCTGATGCCAACACAAATTCCTTGCTCTGAAAAACACAGCTGAAAAACACAGGATTTGGGCAGCTCCAAGAAGCTTTCCCATTATTTCATCAGAACTGCAGCCATGTACCTGCAGGCACTCCCCTGGCACACAGTGCTCAGGAAGGGAAGCTCCAGACAGGAATGATTCAGCTGTGCCATTCCCTCAGCCTGCTTCACTCCTGCCTTGCACTGCCCTTTCATGAGCCTTGTTCTGCTTTGGACACGCTGTATGGCTGGTTTAGTACTTTATTTTCAATTTTAGGTTTCATCCTCAGTTAATGAAACTTAAGACTACTTTTTGTATATTTAAAAAGCCCAAATGCAGGCAGTAAATTTTGCAGTTTTCAGCAGTAATCAATACAGCACCACCATTAAGTTTCACTGCAATCTGAGTTAGAACAAACACATTCCTAGTATTAGGAAACACTATGAAAATGTACTTAATGCCAAACTTCAATAGCCCTTCAATTATTGCAAGTCAACAGTCATGTGAGTTTGAGGGTTGTTTCCTTGGAGGGACATTTCCTTTGGGAGCTGTCTCTTTTTTTATGAACATCTTATTTTCAATGCCTGTGGTTAGAGAACAACATAACCTCAACCCCTGAACATTTCACAAGTTATTAACTGGAATCTCGCTGAAACAATGGGAAATGAGAATATTTCCAATTAAAAACCCCACCAAAGAGCAGCAGAGCCACAGCTGATGCTGCTGAGCCACTTCCCCAAGGTATTGTAGCTCCCCTGTGGTTCCTGAGCCTCCAAGCAACCTCACTGTTCGGATTATCTGACTTGCCCACAACAGATTATCTGACTGCAACAACAGATATGAAAGATCCTCTTGTTTTCAATTCTTAATCTTCTATTTTTTTAAATAAAATTTGATACCAGTATGTTTTAATTAAAGGATGTGCCCCTAAGGTCAATTAAAATATCCAAACTTGCTATTCTAAGGATTTTCCTTTTGAGACTGCATAATTGTAAAACCAGAAAAAGACGAAGACTCAGGGGTGAGAAAGTTCACTGCAAATACAGCTCAGTGAAAACACTCTGAGCAGTCAACATAATGCTTTAAAGAATTAGCTGAGAAATGCTCCTATTTTTAAGGCTCAGAACCAGCACAATCATTCTGCAGAAGAGCAGACCTGTACATATATATAATTCATGTATGGAGAGTAGACAGGAACACGCAAAAATCCTTCCAGCCTAGTGGGTAAGCAAAGAAATGCTGCGAGGGAGTGATTTCTCTGCTTTCTCATGTTTTGACAGAATCTGGTACCTAAATCTTAATGCTCAAAATTTTGTCTGTTAAAAAAAAAAAAAGTTATTTATTTTATTACAACTCTGGCACAACTGAATCAAAATGAGATGCCAAAGCAGACCAGCAGTGAAGTATGAGGTTTAAGATCTGCTGGTAGTATGAAGAGTTTTCTACAGGGTGTTTGGTGTGTAAATAGGGAAAACATTGTTGGAGTGACAACACAGAACTCTCACAAAATCCATTTGTGTTCTGAAAATGAGATTTCAGCTAATTTAGATAAGCAATATTGGTTTTTAATTTCATTACGTATTTTAATCTGTCCAAAACAAAATGTGTGACCTGCAAACCTGAGAAAGAGCAACTGCTCATACTGAGACAATCCTTTGCCCGTTTGCTATGTGCAGGTAAAAAATGAGATTATTTGAACCGTAAAATGCATTATATAACTAAAAATGATCCAGAGCACAGCCAGCACTGAGGTTGCTGCCTCTTCTAGTTCAGCACGTAAGGCCTCGTAAGTTACCTTTGCAAATATGAATAACTCCTTTAACAACAACATGTTCTAGGGTTCTTCCATATCGATCAAAACCTGGAAGAATGGGCAAGAATTGTATTTTCCTTTATCTCACTGGGTCAGAATGAAACAGCAGAATCTGCTTCCAAAACAAATTAAGAATAGACCCAAGACAGAATGAACGACTGACTTCTAAGCACGGCAGTATTATTTTACTCCACTACTCTCATTAAATCTTTCAATAAATGAATAATATAAGAAAAATACTCTTTTTGGCTGGGTTGTTTTTGTTGGGTTTTTTTCCGAGTCAGGAATGGAGAGTCACATCCTGTCTTTGGCCATATTCGGCTGATAGGATTTGCATATGTTAGAGCAACCGTGGCTCCGCGATGGGGTGATTTGTCTGTACCGCCTGTGGGCAAATGAGCCACCAGTTCTGAACTACGTGGCTGAAAGGGAACTGCTGAACAAACTTGAAATAAGCCACGGGAAAAGAAAAAAGGGAGGGGGGAAAAGGGGCAACTTTTCAGGGAGGAGAAACGCACACCTATGTCTAGACCCGGACGGGCAGGGCGCGGGGGGGATGCGGGAGCAGCAGAAGAAGAAGAAGAAGCAGCAGCAGCGGCAGGGCCGCGGGAGCGGGGCCGGGGCGGAGCCGCCCCTGCCGGAGCCGGCGAGGCCCGGCCGTGACAAAGCGGGAAGGGGAGCGGGGCGGCGGGGCCGGGCCCGGCGGGGCCCGCGGGCCCTGAGGGGCGGGCAGGGCCGCGCGGCCTCCCCGGGCGGTGCCCGGTGCCCGCTCCCGGCCCCGCCGCGGGGCGAGGGGCAGCACCATCCCCCGGCCTCCCCCGAGTCTCTCACCTGGGCGGCTCCCGCTGCAGCGCTGGCTCCCCGCGGCGAGCGGCGCCGGGGCCGAGTGGGGAGCCGGGGACGCGATGGGGGTCGAGGAGGAGATGGCGGCCGCTGCCGCCCGGCGGCCGCCCGGCCTCCTGTCCCGCAGCCGCAGCAGCCAGCCCACGGCGCCGATGACGGCGCAGGCGGCCAGGAGCTCCCAGCACGGCCATCGGCCCCAGCCAGCTCCCCAGAGCGAATCCCAGCCCCCGGCGGCCCCGACCCACCGCTCCATGCCCGGCCCGCGGCCCGCCCGCCGCACGCCGCCGTGCCCGCACGCCCTCAGGGACGGTACCTCCGCGGCCTCGCGGCTTCCAGCTCCTCCGCCCCGCGCCCGCCCCCCAGCAGACGCGGCGGCGGCTCCGCCCGGCGCTGACGGGGCTCCGCCGCCTGCCTGGGCCTCACCCTGACCGCAGCTCCGCTCGGCCGCGGCTCCCGGGCGGCGGGGAAGGGCCGGGCAGGCCGAGGGAGCGGAACACGCGGCGGAGCGGCCGCAGCTGCTGGGCGGGAGGGGAAGGGCCGGGCAGGCCGAGGGAGAGCGGAGCGGCGCCGCTGCTGCGGGGGAACACGCGATGGAGCAACCGCAGCCGCCGGGCGGGCGCTGCCCAAGGCCGGGACAGGCGCGCAGGGTTTGAACTGTACCGGCCCTGGGGACCGGGAACACACGGGCACTTCAGAGGCCGCTCTAGAAAGGTTCCGTCCGGGTATAACCCATTAAAATGCTGCAGCAGTCTCGTATGAGCCATGAGAGGTGGAAAACCAGGGAGCAGGAGGCCTCTAGTGCAGGAGAACCGTTTCCTGCACAGACGTGAACCAGCCCTCCCAGCAAGTGCAGCATTCCTGCCTTAGGGTACAGGCACCTGCACTATGTGCAGGGCAGGCACTTGGTGGTTTAAGTTGCTGTCCTTAAAGAAGAAAATAGTATTGCTTTAACTCACACTGTTTATATTGCAAGGAAGGTACAGGAATTTCTCTACTTACCATTTTAACTGGCTAAATTAGAATGAAGATGACATTTCTGCTGTGTTCCATTTTGTATAAACTCCACAGGCTGACAAATTCAGGCCAAGGAATTGTGTTTCTTCCCTGATGAGTTCAGCTGAGAAAAAGAAAATATTATGGAAATACAAACACAATGAAGTTTAGCTGTGTGAAAAATCAATACACAATAATGTTGTCTTTCAAAATAAGATTTCTTTTCCTTAAAGGTGGCAACACAACATATTCAGTATCCCAACAGAAAAATTACTGTCCAAAACCAAAGAGAAAATGGTAACTCTCTCGAAGCAGAAACAACATGGGGCCCTTTAGCAAAAATAGTTTATTGCACAAAACTTTTAAAGGAATCCCTATGCACATAATTTTTATAATCAACATGCTTTGTATGATCATAAACATTAATTGTACATAGTGTAACTCCTCCAGCCCCTGGGTTATCCATTCTTCAAGAACATGGAATTATTAACTTCTATCTTTACAAATACGGCCTAAGCAGACATTACTGAATGTCATACATGAAATAGAACCATTTCATTTACAATATCCAGAACATCTCCCCTAGAAATCTGTGCATCTGTATTGGAAATGAGGCTGCCCAAGACCAAAGTGTTGCTCATTAGTAGGAGGCAGAGGGATCAGATGACAGCTGTTGAGCATTAGTAATTCCTCTGGACAGCAATTGCTTTCACAGAAAATACTTAAAGGCTCTGATCACAGCAAGTCACATGCAACTATTCCCACTTTCCCCACAAAGTTAATAAAATGTACATCACAAGCTTCTGCATCACCAGGACTGAATTTGTCATCCTTAAGGTAAATTTATATTGGTAATACCACCTGTCCCCAGCACACCTCTGATGTTGTCACAGCTGACACTAAAATAGCTGTGCCACTCTAGTTCTCTCCCCTAAGGAGAGAAAATATAATCCATGACAATATGAACAGTAGAACATTCATCCTGGATATTACTTTACACATGTGAAAATCCCATAGATTTCTGCTAGGATATTGCCTGAACAAACAGTATGGGATCAGATCCTCCTGCTGCATGAGTGGATAGGGGGCTCAGCTGATCCCAATACAGTGCACAAATATTTCCAAGAAATCTGGAAGACAACAGAATGGAGCATTATGCAATATTCAGCAATGCCAGAGACTCAGTAACATTTTATTCTTTTGTAGGGTTTTTGCTGGTCTTTGTTGTGATTTTTTTTCAAATGCACAGTTATTCAAGAACCCTCAAAAACTCAACAGCATCTGAAAAAATAATGCTGCACCATTTACCAGCTTTCAGCACTGGGGAACATTCTCACATTGCAGTGACATTTCTCCTTCATTAACTAGATTTGGTTTAGTACACAGCATCCACTAAAGAAACACAGAAAATACATTCTATTGCAGTGCTTGAGAAAGTAAAATAAATTTTAAGAGATTAGTCTTCAGATTCTCCTGATTATTTGGCAGTGCTGTGACAGGCAGAGGGGAGACAATTTTCATTCCTACAGCTAAGTTATTTTATTGCCTAGACAGCAGAGACCTGAAGCTTTGCAGACTGAGCACGGCCAGGCTCAGTGTGAAGCTTTTTAATAAAGCAGCAGCTGTTTCTCTGGGTCATTAAAACATAGCTGATGAGCTTCAAAAACTGGCCTTGCCTTTATCACACACTGCATGCTCCTTCTAGAAGACCTCCCAGTGACTTCTGTAACTTCACTTAGTACCTCACCAGATTTAGACCCTCTGAAGTCTCCCTGTCCTTCATGTAAGTAAATGACATGGTGTTTGTAGAAAAAGCACATGGTGAATATAACAGGACAATGCCCAGTGTCCAGGTACTGCCAGCAGCAGCTGGGCCAATGCAGAATCTAATCCACAAGAGCTCCCTCATCTTGGAAAGGGAAAAACACATCTAAGGCTGATTGTGCAAGCTCAGATGTCTCCAGGAGCTAGTGAGAAACTGCAGCAGGAGGCAGAATGGATACAAAAAGGAGAGCTGACATTCAGAACAACTAGGAAAGTTTCTAAAAATTCTGGCTTCTTTGACACCAGATAAAACCTTTATCCATACAACCACTGCTGAACTAACAGAACATAGTGGATTCTGAACTGTAGGAAATGTATTTAATAAGGTGAACAGCAACATTAACGCTGCACAAGTATTATTTTAAATCCTGGACATTTGGTAGTTTTCTTGTACTGAATATATTATTCATTACAGTTTATTTTTATTTCTTTAACAATACTGTGGTTTGTTTTTTTTCTTCTTTGAGCTTAATATACAGGCAACTTCAAGAACATGACAGCAGCAAGATAATCAGTACCATTTACTCTACAAAGCAGACTGCAGCAGTGTGCAGACATGTCTTAAGCTAGTTTGTAAAGCTTTTGATTTTGAATTGTTTGGTAAATCCATCTGATGGGCATCTAATACCACATCAATGCATTTCTTCCTTTACCAGTTGCAAAACGTTGACAGTCAGCATCACTTCACTTTGATCCCAGTAAAATCTAACTTAAAATCCAGTAGCTGCAGGGCATGAAATCATTCAGTAAAAACATTTATAGTGCGAAGTGTTCAACTGGACTAGAGCTTGAAGTGGTAGCTACAAGAAATCAGACTTTGGATAAATATAGGTGGGTTTGGGAGTTTTGTTTGGTTATTTATTTTTTGCCTTACTGCTAAACAAAATGCAATATCCTTCCCCCTCCTCTGCAACAACCAAACCCAAAACCAGCAACAGCCTCTTTGGAAAAATACATGAACTAGAATTTTTCCCCCAGCCTTTGAATCTACTTGTACTTAATAGATTTTTTTTTTTTTTTGTGAACACCAAACTACAATGGATATAATTGACTTGTTTTAAGGACAAAAACATTCTAGTACATGAGTAACCACTAAATTTCCAAATACCCTAACACTGAATTTTAGAGTGAGGAGAGGGCTGGCTTGTCACTGCACTATGAGCCACATGGAGCAATGGGGCCAAAGATGAAGGAAACTAAAGTGAGCTGCTTTAAAAATAACTTAGTCAAGGTGCTCTGCAGAGGGACTGCCACAGTACCAACACTTCCATTCACCCTGGACACCTTGGAATAGAGGCTGCAAAAATTAGAGGGAGCGTGTGGGAGAAGATAAAGCTATTAAAAATAATAATTTTATAGGCATTATAATTATGTCTTTTAAAGTAAAAATAATTACATTTCTAAAAGCTCTGGCTTTAGGTGCTGATTCCCCTAAGCCATTTTTACAGTATGTCAAAGAAGAGCAAACTTAAACATAACATTAAAACAATGACAGTAACAAAACCCCTCATTGTAGCCTTAACTTACAGTATATAAGCATATTAAACCAGATATTCAAAGTCAGAAAATTATGATTTTTTTTCTTATGTATATATATATATATATATTTTACACACATACTTTTAACTGGGTGTCTACTTCAAAACTTGAAATAAAAAGGTGCAAAGTATTTGTGCAGTGAAGCAAAGCTCACTACTGGCCTGTGACTGTAAGAGAAAAACATCAGCAAACGTGCCAGGCAAATCTGCCAAAGATACCAATGCTCTGCACTGCTTGTCTTTACAGCCTTGTTTCTTCTGCTATAGGTCAGAGGTCATCTTCAAAACTGGAAATGGCTTACAATAACTTATTTTCCTTCAAATACAGATGTCTATAATCTGCATTTCAAAAATAAGAGGTTATAGGAGGGACAGGAGAATACTCAGCATGTCCAGTTCTCAACCACAGCTAATGGCTGAACGTGAGAACTTGTTTTTCACTGTAGTTTGGCTACTATCCAAGATGAGGGAAAAAATACATCCTACTCCCACAAATTAAAAAAGAAAACCAAACAAGAAAACCTAGATGTTACATAATTAACAATAATTCCTTAACAAACTCACCCAGATTGAACAATTACATACTTGAAACCAGATGCTCCTCTTGACCTCATTTTAAATCTTCATCTCAATCTCTTACTAAACCCTCAAATGAGCTAGATTCACCACTTGGCAGTACCCAACGTGACAGAACTGTTTCAAACAAACCCTTAGAATAGCACATTCTGCATTTACTATTCCATCAGATTCTAAATTGGTGCCCTTTGTTTCTACAGGCAAAAGCACAACTCTGAACACCATTTAAAAAAATGAAATAAATAATTTTTATAAAGATTTGTTTATATACTTAAAGCAATAGGAAGAAAGACAACTGATAAAGAGGTTATAGTGTCAAAGC